ATACACACACATGCTGGAGGAGAATTGTTGCTTTTTTTCGGGTGGTTGCCGCAATCTGTTTCTTATTAAAAGAGAAGGGCAGAGAAAGGCCATTTAGCGGGTCGCCATTCTATATTCAGCATGCGGGCTTTTGTTTTTGATTGATTTGACGGGCGCATAATGCTGACTCTCTCCATCCCATCGGCAGACCGAAACTGCCTTTTTGTGCCACTCGACTCCCGTGCGCACACACTGCCGCATTTGTCTTGCAAATCCGTCCCCGCTGCGCTGCGTTGAGACGAGGAAAAGGGAGCAGCCGGACATGAGTGAAGTTCAAGCCAGCGAACAAGCGCTTCCTTGCATGGGCCGCTTTTGTCCACAGCCAAACGGAGTGCTGATGAAAAATGAGGCCTCCTTTTGGACAGTTGAATCCTGGCCACGACGGCAGAAAATAGCTGACGGGGACGGGGGGCGTGAGGGGTGGGGGGGGGGATTATTACCATTAAAACTAAAAAAAAACAAAACAAAACAAAACACAGCACACACACACACGCACACTTCGTTCCCCTGGAGCCCAAAAGTTGCAGGGGACAAAAGAGACCTCGAAACGGGTGAGTGTCCTCTTGTGCATCGGTGTGACTGGAATTAGCATAGGAGCAATTTATCACGTTTCTTGAACATCTCTTTTTTTTTTTTTTTTTTTTTTTAAGAAATGTGAGGCCAACCATTCGTTGTCCACGTCGCGCACCCAACGCAAACTTGTGCTGTCAAATCAAGTCGACGCTGCACGGCTCGCGAAACGGTGTCGGGCTTCTTTGGAGCCGAATGACTTGATTCCTTGATTGGAGCGGACTGATTGATGCGTTCAAATCAGTCCGGTCGACTCCATTCCCAAATCTTTTCACGTGCACTCGTTTTGTGCCAGGGCGGTCATATTTCACGATGCGGGGCACGCAAAAGCTGTGCGCAACGCCTCTCATATCCATCGGCCTTTCACAAGCAACAAAGATCATAGCGAGACGTCTTTGTGGCTAATTCGGTCAAAAGCGCACCTCCCGCCCGCTTGCGCGGAGGTCGGTCCGGCCACGGGAGGGAGGAAGGGGGGGGGGCCAACTGGGATCAACCCCCAAATTCATTTGGCCCTCCGCGCACGCCCGTCTCATCCAGGTCTTCCGTCGCTCTTCCGTCCGGCGAGATTTGCCAGTCGCAGACAACGCAGCGCTTTGCGTCCGTTCACCGCACCGACGTCAATTTCTGAACACGTTTCGCATGGGGTCGCAAAGACTCCCGCGCGCCACGCGCGTCCATAGTTTGGCGACAAACGAAATGTGGCGCCCAAGGACGGCGTCAAAAAAATAAAAATAAAAAAATCAAGAAAAGAAAAGAAATAAGTGGTGGATTTTTTTTCAAAGTTGCAAAGGCTCCTTTCTCCGCGTGAGATGAAGCACTTGCGCACCCAACCAGAAACGCATCTCGCCATTGACTCGCTCCCTTTCTCTTGGGCTAATTTGGGAGGCAGGAGCGGAGGCTGCCGGAGCGGATGGGCCGCCGTCGCCTCGTTCGCTCCCGCATCGGCTTTTCATCACCCGCCTTTGTTCTCGGTGAAAGTAACGCCTCGAATCAAAGAGATGACAATATTTTCCCATCGGCTTGAAGACCCCGGACAAGAGCCCTCGAGCTTTGGCGGAAAGAAAAAAAAAACCCCAAAAACAAAAAAACATCGGAGCCGGTCATTCATCCTGTCACTGCGCACCTGTGCTCCCGCATTCAAAGGACACAAACCTGTCCCTGTTAACATGAATTATTCACCACCGGCACAAAGGCTGAAACGGAGCAGGCTGGAGTCCGCTTATGGCTCCCAAGATGTTTTATCCCTCCGAAGATGCGCCCGAAGCCGCCTCGCCCGCGCCTCGAAAAGAAAAGAAATAAGTGGTGGATTTTTTTTCAAACTCACGCCTTCACTCTGAGAGCGAGTCGCTTTTGCCGGATCGCTCCTTCCGTTCGACTCGTTCCAAAGCGTCCACAGCGTGCACGACGTTGCCGACGTGGTTCGGGATGGCCAGGGCGCGGGATGGTCGCGCACGGCCACTTGTCGGCGCGTCAAGATGGAGCAAGCGAAAAGGGAAATGTCCCCCCTCACCCCCACCCTCCGAAGACCCCGGACAAGAGCCCTCGAGCTTTGGCGGAAAGAAAAAAAAAACCCCAAAAACAAAAAAACATCGGAGCCGGTCATTCATCCTGTCACTGCGCACCTGTGCTCCCGCATTCAAAGGACACAAACCTGTCCCTGTTAACATGAATTATTCACCACCGGCACAAAGGCTGAAACGGAGCAGGCTGGAGTCCGCTTATGGCTCCCAAGATGTTTTATCCCTCCGAAGATGCGCCCGAAGCCGCCTCGCCCGCGCCTCTCTTTCAGCCTCGAGTGGCCGGATCGGCACACAATCGCGGCATCTGTTCGAGGTGCCTCGACGGGTCCAAGTATGACGCCGAACGGACCGCGCCGCGCGGAGAAGGAAGCGCGCGGGGCCGCGTGCACGCGGGGACGGCGCGCAGAAGAGCGCTCGCTCGCTCGCTCGCTCGCTCGCTCGCTCGCTGCGCCGGAGCGCCAGGTGACGGCACGAAAAGGCCGCGGCCCGAATCCTCCTCCTTTGCCCCCCCTCCCCGTGGAGAAGGTGGCCCTCGGATCCGTCACATTGTCTTTAGCGGGCGCCCTCGGCTGTTAATTGGCCGCACGCACGCGGACGCGCAAGGAGCGACACCGAGACGCGTTCGCGTCGCTGTCCGCTCGGCTCTCCCCGCTCGCGCCGCTCCGCTTTGAGCCCCGCCGTGGCGTCACTGAAACCTGCGAAACGGCAAGCTTTACGGTTGCCATATTGTGTCCCGCACAAAGGCTAATGGAACATTAAAGGCGCGGAAAACGCTGCCAACCCGTCTCGGGGACTCTTTGCTTGTTTTTAGGCAGCTGCTCTCCGCGGACCCGGGCGCAAAGACGTGGGGGGAAAAGAAAAAAGAAAAAAAAAACACAGACACGCACACAAAACAAGTTGAAACTACCAGGTGCATCCTCGAAGAACGCGGCAGAGAATCCGCTTCGCTGGGGTTAGCGCTCATAAAGATGTAATTGAAATTGAAAGGTCAAGTCGAGAAGAAAAGAGCGCGCAGCAAGCGAAGATGATGCTCTCAACCTCCCCTCGCGTGCCCCCCCCCCTTCCCTCCCTTGTCCTTTGCTATACAAACCTTTTGGCCATAAAGATTTAAGATGACACCTCGACACTATAGGCTGGGGGGCGAAAAAAAAAACATGAGAAACTCAAAAGCGCCGCATGGGCCTACTCGGAGCTCATTTGAAGTGCAGCGCATTCTGTCACCTCGCTCTCCCTAAAATAAATAAATAAATACATAAATAAAAATTTTAAAAGGATGAAACAGCTTCGGGAAATCATTTCCATCCATGAAACGAAATCCCCGCGTCTTCTCGGAGGGGTTTCAATCACAGAACTGCACTCGATGGCCTCCTCATTGGCTTTTCAATCAGCATTTATTCGTTCAATCTACCGACGCGTCCTCATGATGACGTTGCATAACAAGTCAAGGGACAAATCAAAGCAACTCTCCCCTCAATATGTCGAGGGGCTCTTTTGTTGGGTTGTTTTCGAAGAAGAAACACGACCGTCCATCGTTGAAAAAAAACCACACACACACACACACACACTTTGGGGACTGTTTTTATTTGCGCCGTCGCATAATTGTCCTTGCAATGTAGTTGCGATTCAATCGTACCGCGCTGACTAACCAAGCGATCGGAGCAAACTTGTCAACGGAGAGCCTTGAGGTCGTCGGTTGAGCAAAGGGATGGCTCGGAAACCTCGACTGTCCCGTTCAAATGGAACACGTCGAGAGCCAAAACCGACGCTTCAATCGTCTTTTTCAACTCGAGAAGCACTTTTCTGGGGATGGCAAATGGATACGTTCAGCACTTTGGCTGTCTTGAGGGAGGGGGGGAAACTTCCCACGCGGTGGCTTGTCGGATGGAAACGTCTTTTTTTTTTTTTTTTTTTAGACAATGAGATCAAAAGCGGCCATTCGGGTGTCCTGCGCGTGCAGCCACCCAAGATTTGCGTCGCCGTCGATAATCAGGTGGCGCATGGCGCGCCTCCCTCAAGCAAACGACTGCTGCGCATTGCGCCGTCCGGACGGCCTTTGAACGCGTCGCCCTTTTTTTCCCTCCCCCTGTGCGCTTCCGCTGTCGAGGCGCAAATCGACAAGCTGACTCTGAAATGCGCCGGCGCCGAGTCCGAGTGCCTCGCAGTCCAATATAGAGGCCCTGCCGCCACGGCCCCCCATCGGACCATCTCATGTCTGTCATCGGATCGCACGGCCCAGTCAAGTGAAAGAGAAGCGGACGGAAGAGCGGCCTGCGCCCGGTCTGCGTTTCCAGGAAAGCCAAACCGACGGCGTCTCGAGTGGGAAGCGCGTCACGCCATCCCGAGTGGAAAAGGAAGGAGGTGCAACCCACTTGACGTCTGGCGTGCGAGCAAGCAGGTCGACGCATAGGTGGAACGGTGGCGCGATGCAGCGCCTGGGTACGGTGGGGGCACCTGCACGCAGCACCTGCCACGGAAGAGACTAGCTGCTCGACGGCCTCCCTCCGCGTGCGCCCTCCTTGAGGCGTGGCCCTTCGTTGGCCTCTTCGCGTTCCTTTTCCACTCCCCATTCGCGACGGGACGTCGCCAAAAGTTTGATTTCTCCGCTTGCGCCTCTCCCATTTGACCGCCGTGGCGTTTGTTTTCGTCGTTGCACGTGAAGCGACTCTCCGCATCCCGTCGCTTCTCTTTTCCCACGCGCGCTACAACCGGATTCGGCTCGCGAGCCCGCACACATGCAAACTTTGGTACACAAGGCACACAAGCGCAAGACGCGCGGCTTCTTTCTTGCTTGCTTTAATCGATTGGATAGAAAAATAATTCCTCATCAGGATAGAAAAATAAATAGCATCCCATTCCTCGCAATTAAATTACATCATATATTATTACAAACGTTAAATAGACGATTGCCAGTAGTCTGAATTAAAAAACATACAAACACATGCATACACTTGTGCACACAACATCGACAATATCAGAATGTCCGGTGGCGTTTTGACAAGGCTTCCTTCTCCGATCCGCTCACCGGTCGTCTAACGTTGGCTCGGTTTCGGCGTTGAGAGTTTTTAGGCCACCAGGCCGAAAGGGGGCTCGTTCTCGATATCCGCGAGGAGCGATTTGTGGTGCGGTTTTCGGGGGTCCTCCGGGGTCCAGACCTTGGCCGTGCGGATCACATTCTGGTCCCGAAGTTGCTTCTCATCCGACCAGGAGAGGGAGTGGCCGGCCAGCGGGGGGAGACCGAAGTCGGGGTCGCTCGGGGAGGGGGACCCTACGAGGACAAGACAAGCCGCTCTCAGCGTGGCTCGACGCGAACGAACGACGGCAACGACGAAGGAAGAAGTCGGCCCGAAAAGGCGTCGAGCTCCAAACTTACTTGTGCCCCTGTGGCAGATGATGATTTTCCTCGGCTGAGCGTGCGCGTCGCCACCGCCGCCGCCGGAGTTGCGGATGGGCAGGTCGGACTGCACCAGTTGGGCCAAGAAGTTGATGTAGCCGATGGCCAGGCGAAGCGTGTCCACCTTGGAGAGTCTCTTCTCGTAGGGCAAGGTGGGGATGTGCGAGCGCAGCCCCTCGAAGGCGTCGTTGATGGACTGCATCCTCCGCCGCTCCCGGATGTTGGCAGCCTGCCGCAGCTGCTGCATCTCCACATCGGACCTCGTCCTCCGCCGCCTCTTCAGCAGCGGCCCGCCGCGAGGCGACAGCTGCGCGATGCTGTCGGCGCAGCTGTAGGAGAAGGTGGACGAGCGGGACGAGAAGGACAGGTTGCCGAGGTCGCGCTCGTCGTCGGCGGGGCCGCCGCCCCCGCCCTCCTTGCCGTAGAAGTCTTGCAAGTGGCCGGCGAAGAAATCCACGTCGTCGTCCAACAGGTCCTCCGGCTCCAAGTTGCCGTCCCTCGACGATTGGTCGGTGAAAAAGTCGTCATCGTTGAAGTAAGGGGGGGAGGAGAACGAGTCGAGTGCCGAGAAGGGATCCAGCACGCCGTCCATCTCTGCTGCGGCGGAAGCTTCGCTCTCCTACAGACTCGCTGCGCCGCGGTCGCCGGCTCACGGTGCCCCGCTTCGCTTTTAGACACAGAACACGCACGCACGCACGCGAGTTGTTTTTATCGTTACATCCTCGGTCGCGTGCCGCTCGCTCAGGGCGCCAACCAATCACAGTTCGGTCCGCGAAGCGCACCTCTTGGTCCTCCGCCGCAAAGCCACGCCCCCCCCCCCCACACACACACACATCCCCACATGTTCGGGGGCAGCCAGCAAAACCAAAGTGCATGCCCTCGAATCGTTCCATTTATGTTTTTCAAAACGGGATCCGCGGGCTATGTATCCCCCTGACCACATTTCCAACGTGAAGTGCAGTGAAAGAACAAATATGCCTTTCTCTTATGTCGTTGTCACAGCTAGAGAGATCGAGATACTCCAGGAAAATTGGATTGTCACAACACACCCGTTATCAAGACAATGGAAAAAAAATACAAAAGCAGCATTTGATGGTCCCAATTAAGGAAAAGTGGACAGCAATTTCAGCCAGGAAAAAAATAGACAGATATTTACCTCTTGTCAATAATAAATGGCAAAAGTGTAAAGACAGCTTGTATGAATCCTGAAATTGATGAGTTAAATACAAAAGCGTAGACCCGTATGTGCACGTCTTTGCCCAGTGAATATGATTGTGTGTGTGTGTGTGTGTGTGTGTGTTACTATATATATCTATATACAATTAATTAACACACATACGCGCCCGTGCACACACACACACTCGTGGACACACCCACACACAGTTCAAAAAAGGCCCACTTAAAGAGCACAATGTAACTCCAAGTGTTCCCTTTATTTTTTGGAGCAGTTTGTTTCTATCTGTCTTGATAGTAAGAGAGAGAGAGCGAGAGAGAGAGAGAGAGAGAGAGAGAGATGCGCGTCAGTTGACGTGCTGCTGTGGTGTTCATTCCCCGCCGGGCGAGCACATCCACCCGCGTGATCCGAAGAGCCCCCGGCTCGCTCATTTATTTCGCCCTAAGTGGGAAGCGCTGCGGCCGTAAATAGGCCCACTAGCCGAGTGGTCGATGGGCCACTTGCGGCGGCCAGTGCGGCTTTGATGGGGGGAACCGGTCGACAAATAAATGCGCAGCGGCGGCCCCCCGCGGGGGCGCGCGCCTCCCCGACACCAACTCGGGCTTCCCGGTGTTTGCCGAGAGGACACTGCCGGCCACCGGTCCGCTTCTGCGAGCGCTCATCTATTGAGGCCATTCAGTGAAAGGAGTCACTTTGTTCAGGGGAGAAAATAGACCTTTGTATGTGTGTGTGTGCGTACGCGCGCCCCAGGCGCACTGTTGGCGGCGGCGCGCTTGAAAGCTGCGAGCCGCGGCGGCCGTGGGAAGAAGGCCACTTGCGCCGCTGTGGCCAAATGCAACACGTCGCGTCATAAACGAGACCTGCGCCGCCGTCTTCATGATGAAGCTGTCGCCCGTGCGCCTCAAAACACACACAATGCACACCCCCTACCCGGCAGGCGGCCAACAGGTGCTGACCCCAACCACGAGCGCCCATTCAAACCATCACCTTCTAATCGCCTCGACAACCCCCAAATTCATCTTGGGAATCGTCCGCGACCACGCGACGACCACGACTATATGCCACCTCGCGATTCGCAAGCAGAACGTTTCCATGTAAAATGCAATCTGCAGCTTGCGCTCATTGCGCGGTGTTGGAGCCGCGCCGTTGTCCACCCAAGTCCAACAAGCAACCCCGTCCTTGGGAATCCGAATTCGAAACGCGACGAGGGCACGACGAGCTTTCCCGAAGCGTGAGCCCAAGGCGTTCGGGCCCCGATTTGCGGCGGGCTCGGGCGGGGGCCTTGTTGTGGGCCTGCGGGCGGCGCGCCCTTCCCCTCTGCTGGGGATCATTTGAACCGTGCAAGTTGCTAACGCGGCGTGACCGAGCGCTCCACGCACCTCATTGAGGAGCGTGCTGCCATTCTGACGGGGCGGACCCGCTCCTACAGAACAAGTGTTTCGGTTCCCAGGCTAAGCGGCCACGTTGATGCGCGCGCACGCACGCACGCGCACACGCACACGCACGCATGGAAGGAGACAGACGATCCTACATGCAGGAGATTTGCCATGTGCGCAGGACCCAATCCAAATAGCCACCATTATTATTATTATTGTGATGACGGTTATTATGATGATTTTCATTCTGATGACGCGGTATTCGCGTCATCAAATATCCATCTCCAGATTTCATTTGTATCGCAAACGGACTTTACGTCACGGGTTGGAAAACCCAAATCTTCATCGCTCTCTCTCTCTCTCCATGAAGGTCCATACTCAGGGTTTGGGAAGTCGCGTGCGCAGTTTGCAGAAGGGCTCGTACATTGCTGCCGATTTGACGAGGCCTCTTCAGTCACTTGGCGCCTTACTTTTTCCTTATTGCGTTCATGCATGTTATTTGTCAACGTACGCGCTCTTTGAAATGACGCGCTCCACGTCAATAAATCGTGCCGCCGTTTTCAAGACGATGGACTCTTCCTAACCTGTTGATCATTTTTGCTTTGGTGAGTTTCCTCTTTTTTCTCCGCGAAACGATGCGTTCTTGTACACCCGCTGGGCAGGAGTGGCATCTTTGTTTTTCAGGGTCAGCGCATGAGCACAATATCGATCAGTGCATGCCAAATGTCTTTGTGAAAAGAGAAAAAAAAAAGAAGATTCAAAAGCCCGCTGATGATGTACCGCGAGGTTTCGAAAGCGCCGCATGGCATCCTGTGCCCATAGAAGGAGAAGGGCGAAAAAAGGAAATCCAGAAAGTGAACTACGGCATGCAGACGTGGGGAATTAGATCCGGCGATAATCCCACACACGGACTCAAATGTAATCCCTCTCTAATCCGGGGGTTCCACGGGATTATCCATCTGGATGACGAGGCGACAAATTGAGGAGATTTGAACAACAGAGAGCCCAACGAGTTGAGGAGAAGTATCGCAGGGCTTGTTCGCCGTCCCTTGGGCCGCTTGCGCCAACATTGCCCGCGGCCCACTGCTGTTCAAACGCACTCGCGGATATCTCCATTTATTTTGCAGTTGGCAGCCTCATAAAAGCTGAAAAAGGACGGCCTGCACATGCCTGACAGATCATTGATGGGGCTGAGGCGCAACTTGCAATTCCGCACAGTGCCCGTTTGAAAAAAAAAGATGTAAATACTCAATCCAGTTTGTCTCTCTTCCTATTACCCCCCCCCCTACACACACACACACACACACACAGGGCCGCTTGCGCCAACATTGCCCGCGGCCCACTGCTGTTCAAACGCACTCGCGGATATCTCCATTTATTTTGCAGTTGGCAGCCTCACAAAAGCCGAAAAAGGACGGCCTGCACATGCCTGACAGATCATTGATGGGGCTGAGGCGCAAATCGCAATTCTGCACAGTGCCCATTTGAAAAAAAAAAGATGTAAATACTCAATGCAGTTTGTCTTTCTTCCTATTACCCCCCCCCTCCACACACACACACACACACA